TAGTAACTTGTCTTAGTAATTGGTGTGTTTGCGCTATTGAAGTTTTGTTAAGTTTGATACATGCCAAGTTTTCTGTCAATTGAACTTTGATGGTTGCAAAAAGTTACATCTATTCTCAATTTCATATGGAATTGTTAATTTTGATTGCTGTGAAATTATTGTGTAGGAATAAAGCTCATTTTCTGATTGTGTTAAAGTGGCCAACTATGTTGAAACTTGAAATTGGGAATCTATGAATAGTTTGCATCAGTGAACCCTAAGCCCTAAGGTATCCTACATCTCACTAACCTTCTCTTAAATTTTCAAGAGAACCTACTCAATGTTAAGCATTTTATTGCTCGTCCTGGTAGTCCCAAGTGAGCCTAGAAATTTTATGATACTTCAACTTTGAAGAGTTCTGGACCTACATCAGTTCTATGTTCTGAGAGGTCGAGTAGTGATTTCAGAATAGCATATTGTCTCCAACCTTACGGAGGAGCATGTCTCACTATTAATCTATTCTACTTAGGGAGCAACATAAAATATATGCTCAGCTTTTGTTTCTTGTTTACTTTATACTCGTGTTTACATCTTATTCATTAATTACAGTTTGATGCTCATTATTTTATTTTTGATGTTTTAATATTTATATATTAAATCATTGTGATAGGATCTCCTGCAAAAATTAAGGCAAAATAAAATATTTTTATTTCACCAACACCAAACAACACAAGCCGAATACATAAAAGGTAAAGCATCTACATTTCAAGAGGTAAACGATCTCTCCCAAGCCCTAACCTTAAGATCAGGATAACATTCACATATAACATAACCCTAAATATATCAGCCCTATTTATACCAAACAACAATAACTAACAAATCACTAAATTATTTTTTTAGCCTTGAGCCTAAAATAAGTCTTCAAATTATTTGGCGGGCTCGGCGTCGGTCTTACATTAACTCCCATCCCAAAAAAACAAGTTGTCTTTAAGGTGAAAGAGAGGAAACTACTGTTGGATCAAGTCGCATGATTCCCATGTGACGTTATAATCTGACAATCATTTTCATTTAACGAGAATTTCTCAAGAGATTGAAATGTAGTCTTGTGCACATCTGTTAGTCGCATCCGAATCTATTGATATCTCAACTTTAAGTCAATCTTGGAGAATACCAAAACCGCAAACTCTTTTAATAGCTCGTCAATCATCGAGACTAGAAATTTGTTAGGTGTTGTTTTCTTATTCACTACTCGATAATCCGTACGTAAACCCAACCATAGGCATCCTCTCCTTTAAGGATTGACATCTTCATTTTCCTTATGCATGAGTCTCCTCTCCAATTTTCTAGACCAAAAGCTAATTCCACCCATGAAGCGGGGGTTTGGTTCATTTTCTCTGCCCATATTGATTTCCTTTCTTTCATAAGTATGGCTCACCCCATAATAAGCTCGGTTGCCCCCATAGACTTCTGAATCTCCTTCCGCCCGGAAAGCTACCGCAATGAAAGACACTGACACAGTTGGTTGCAGCCCTCTACGGTGGTCCCACCCACTATGATTCCCTATTCCTGACAGAAATCCTTCAAATCGATCTTCTCTAGCCTCAAATCACATGTTGTCCCGTTCTGTCTGCTGTCGCTCGAGCAATTTCCTCCAAATGTTGCAGCTCGAATCCTCTTCCCACTCATTCGTTCAATCCTACTTTTTTCTTAACTTAAAACTTACAAGAAACTTAGACTATCTTAACTTTTTTTTTCCTTCTTTTTTTTTTCATCTACAATTTCACCATGCTTCAGCATATGGGATGAGCTATGGAGGAGTTCATATTTTTATACGAGAGCATGATTATTTTAATGCATGTAACATAAAAAATATAATACTAATGTAGTTGCACAGAATAAAGCCTTAATCTCCAGGGAGAATTTGTTGATTGTGTTGGTATTCTTTTCCTCAAATAATCTTCTTTTTTGAAAAGACCATCACAAAGGCCTTATATGACCTCACCGTCTAAAGATGCATGGTGCAAATCTATCTCCATATAATAGTTGCTAGTATTGAGAAGATTTCTATAGCTTTTGTCCATTCAAAGCCGATACTGGAGTTAACCGAACCACGATAGAAATGGGAATATTATTGTTGAAATTTAAATAGGTTACAATGAAGGCTCTCCAAAGTAGAAATTAACACTAATAAACATAAGACAAGACCCTGAGGGTGGTTGAGAGCCTATGGCTACACTAGGAGGATGTTTGGAGGAAGGGTGGCAACAAGGAAGGGGTGCTGGGGGCATATGCGGCAACAGAGAGGTCTGTTGGGGAAGAAGTACAGCGCCAGGCAGGCTGAAGGGAGGATGGTGCGGACTAGGGTGGTCACAGGGAAGTTGGGAGGCCACTGGGTGGCTGCAGGGATATGGGACCGCAATTGGGTGGCTGCAGGTAGGAGGGCCGGCAACTGGGTGGCTGCAGGAAGAATGGACGGCAGCAGGGAGGCAGGATACGGCAAGAGATCGATGGGGTAAACACCACTTCAGAGCAGGATACAGTCGGAGCACCACTTGTTTTCAGATACAGCCCTAGCAAAGGGAATCTCCTATCGGCAGAAACCTGAAATCATAAACAAGCAAAAACTGCACTCTAGACAAACACACGACATTACATATAATAGATGGTAGATAGAATAGGAAGGGGATAGAAATGAAATGAAATATAATAGGAAGTCCCCCCTATGGAAGGGATCGAATAGGAAAACAGGGAAGAAGGGGCACGAGCAACTAATCCCACCCAAAGGAGTGGGAGGGAGGGCCGGTCCAGCCTCCTGATGGACCGTGACTCTCTTTGTTGAACTGCTAGTTGATTCAGCCGGGCCTAGGCCCTGCATCCGGAGTATCAACTCAACTTTCTTAAAGATAGCAAAACATTGTTTTTGAACCAATATAAAAAATTGGAAAATGAATGCTTATGGGATTCAACCAAATTTCATAAGATTTAAACGATAACCTCTTCACAGAAAAATCTATCCATCATCTTCTCTTTTGCATTATTTTAGAAGAACGCATTAATTAATGACCACTGCATGCTGGAGTATGCATTAACATTTCATGTGGAACATTGTGCAACCATAAAAGATGTCATCATCTTCAGTAATCACCGGTTCTAATGTTCATATGGCCCTCCGTTGAGGCTGTATGCAAGGCTAGCTCATCACTTTATTCTTTCTAGTGTTCAAGTTATAAGTTTTAAGCTAGGAATCAAAGATAGGAATGTTCTTTTTATCTAGTGCTACTTTCTGTATAAATCAGATTCATGTAAACCACGTAGCTGACTTGAGGATGGAAGACAGCTACGGTCTGATTTCTTTGGGATAATTTGATGCCTTTTCTTTGGATGATTGTACAAACTAAAGTCTTGAGTGAGAATTTTTATAGCCTTTACTTTTCCGCTAGGCAGAGCGTTTCTATCACACGTCCTTTTAACCGTTTACATGGGTGTTCAAATAGGTTTTACAATCTAGGCTGTAGCTCCAAAGCCAATGTCTTCTCAAATTTTTTTTAGAAAAAGAATTTATACTTCCAACACTTTCATTTTGGCAAAATGTAAAATCTTGGTGTTATATGGCGTGGAATGCCATTTGTAAGATACATGAACTCGTCAAATTTCACCATTCGGCGTGACTTCTGTTAATAACATAATTAGTGCATTATCACTTTATTGATGTTTAGAACTAGTTTGTATTCTGTTTTTATCCTACCAATCTTTTCGGTTGATAGGATTGTGTCAATTTTTTGTTCTTTAAAACTTTTTAGTAAAGGGAGAATTATTGATGATGTGATGAAAAAGTTAATTAATGACGACTTTCCATCTGGTTATTTGAAATTTGTAAAAACTTCAGCATTATCACGTGTAAATGTTTATAATTTAGTCATCTATTCTCTTTTGATTGGGAAATATTCTGCTTATTACCTTTTTTTTTTATCCATGCAAAGATCTGTCCATTTTTGCATGTTGAGTTTTATTATATGCTAATTTAGTTTTTTCAAATTTTTAGCACTTTCAACTAAATTTGACATATGTGTGGCATTTTTATTTTTTATGATTGAGTATTCATTTTATTCATCATAGAATTTAGAATTGAACTTTATATTGCGCAAGCTGTAAGAGATGGGTTTTTAGCATTAATGAGGACATTGAAATTTGAGTATTAAATTTTGATGATAAAATGCAATTGGTTATATTAGAAAAAAGTGAAGGGCCACATGATTCATGGAAAACGTTGGAGAAAATATGTTGAGAGATGGCTTGGGCGTGCATTATCATAATTGATAGAATTTGTCAATCATTCAAAGTGGATTTTGCTTAAAGAAGCCAATCAAAATTCTTAAGTTAATTTGAACATAATGGTTGGCTTTATTGAGAAGATTGTATAGAATTTTTAACAGAGCTAAAAAAATTATGATATACTTGTAATGATACTTGGTAGAGTATGAAATTACAAAAAGGTTATTATGGATAAAAATGTGATTTTAAATATTTAAAAAAAAAAAAATACTAACGAGATTTATAATACATTTTCATTGTTAGAACACCTTGTTATGGATCACGGTCAAGAGAATGAATACACTAAAATAAGGATTGTGGACTAATAAAAGAATTGTAATGATAATTAAACTAAATTGCTATGAGATGCACAACACAACTTTGTTCTGTATCAACAAAATATGGAAAGGTTTGGATGGATAAACATGTAAAGTAAGAATTGCAGATGCGCGAGAGCAAATTTGTTGAGTTTAGTAGCTTCTTAATTCAAAGTTTTATTCTATACATGTGCAGTTATCTTCTGATTATAACTTTATTCGTCATGTAGTTGATTTTCTTCATACCGAGCAATTGAGAAACAAATGCTTTATTTAGTTTCTTAATTCATTTTTGCGACAACTGATTATAATCTAGGAAGAATTACATACATACCACTCAATTCCTATGCATTTACATATCTAACACCCGGTCATACCATTTATACCTTTCAGGCTACTGCCATATCATGTTATGGCTGACTACGAGGCCGAGGAAGATGACAGGATACTCGACAGCGATACAACTGGGCAAATTCCGTCTCGTCTCCAGCAATGGGATCACAACATTCTCGCGAAGATTGCGGAGCTAACCGCTACTTTCGAGAAGCAGGTCCTCGCCTTCAACATCATGTCTCGGAAGAGGGCCGTCGGGGAGTTCCGTTCCGAGGAGAAGCTCATGGTAGAGCAAGCTCTTCTTCAAGAGGAGAAGCAACTATTGTTGGCGCTACGTGCTGAAGTCGAGTTGCGTGAGAAAGCCGGAAGGGAAGCAGCGGCAGCTGAGGCGAGGATGCGGTTGGCTGCAGCCCAGGCCGAGCATGCACGGGCAGAGGCACACACGCAGGCCGAGATGGCCGCTCGTATGCCGCAGCGAGCCATTCGGGCGAATGCCGCTGCTTCGCACAGTGAGGTTGGGGTGAGTAATATGATGGTGCAACAGCAGCAGCAGCAGGGCGGTAATGAGGAAGATATGGGTGAAGGAGATGAGGACCCTTCAGACGATTTTTTGAATGATGAGAATGAACAGGAAAATGGAGATGTTGCAGGGCAAGAATGGCAGAACGATACTGGGGAGCTGGACTTGAACAGCAGGTGATCTTTTTAGGTGGCAAGTTTGTATCTGGAATTAGCTCCATCAATCTGTTTTAAAGGCCGTGCTTTTCTTAAAGCTAATATGAAACTATGGATGAGAATTCTGGATAAAATCAAGCTTAATTTCAGACTCGGATTTTTCATGAGCTGCTATTATTTGGGACATTTACATATAAACCACCTAATTCTTATGTATTTACATTAAAATAGAATGAATGGAGCTGCTATTAGTTGGGGCATTTTACATACATACCACCTAATTCTTATGTATTTACATATCTAAAACTAAAGTTTTACTTTTTTGCATTCCTACCATCCAAATCCTTCATATCATATCAAAATTACAATTATTTTATTTTTAAAAGTCAAATGCATTTTTCACGTATAGGTAAGATGATGTACGTAAAAATTAAAGTTTAGGTGTTATATATGTAAATACATTGAAATTGAGTGGTATGTATGTTAATCTTTCTTCTTCTCTTCTTCTAATTATTATAATTGTTATTTTGAATTTTCGCAAGCAAATAATATTATGCATAATAAATTACATGCATATGACTTAATTTCTATGTATTTACATATCAAACACCTAAACTTGGACTTTTACATCATATCTATGCATGAAAAGGTGTATTTTTCTCTTTAAAAGTCAAAATGGTGCTATTTTTAACATGATATGGGAGATTTTTAATGGTATAAATGTAAAAAAGTAAAGTTTAGTTGTTGGATATGTAAACACATAAGAATTGGCCGATGTAAATGTGCCTTTCTTTTAGTTTTAGTAATTCAAATAACCTTCAATACAGATCATGTATAAGAATTTTTAGTCTATGTAAATGCATCTTCCTGTTAGAGGTGATCCTTTATTTGTTTTATGCAATCAACTTGAAAATGTTAAGAATACATTAAAGGCTTGGAAATGGAATTCTTCTGATACTCTTTCTAAGCTTGATTGCTGATCTTAAAGATAAGAAGCATTTTATGATGAATCAACTTGAGAGTTCTTATCTTTGTAAAGACTTTTTGGCTCAAGCGAAGAATTTTTAGTCTATGTAAATGCATCTTCCTGTTGAGGTGATCCTTTATTTGTTTTATGCAATCAATTTGAAAATGTTAAGACTACATTCAAGGATTGGAAATGGAATTCTTCTAGTACTCTTTGTAAGCTTGATTGCAGATCTTAAAGATAAGAAGCATTTTATAATGAATCAACTTGAGAGTTCTTGCCTTTGTAAAGACTTTTTGGCTCAAGCGTCTATGCTACAATGTGACATTATGAAAGCTACTATTTGTAATTATAAGTGGACTAAACAAAGATCTAAATGCTTTTAGCTTTAAAAAGGTAAATATGATTTTAAAAATCTTTTATCAGAAAGCTAAATTTAGGTATATTAATCAAGTTTTGGTGAATGATGATTATTATTATTCAAGATGGAATTGTTAGTGAGCCTATTTTCTCTTGTTTATTTGGTAGTTGTTTTGATGATTTTATTTGTTATGATCATTATTTCTCTATTAATTAGGGGTGTAAACGAGCCGCCGACCCCGAGCGATTTATCTCCCGGGCCCACCAAGGGTGTTCGTGTTCGGCTCGTTTTCTTAGCGAGCCGAACAAAAGCTGTTCACGAACAAAGAGTCATTTTGACAACCCTAATCACACGGCCATAAGATGTTAAGGGTTGGGCAGAATTTAAAACCTATTGTTTATATTCTATTTCTTTTTTCTCTTGTCAAAACATCATTTCAATCTAATATAATAATTTTTATTCTATTTTCTTAAGTAATACTTTTAATTGATTATAATTTTTTGTAGCCTTGTAGTCAATATATAAAATTGATGAATAGTATTTCAAGCAAAATCAGCCAAACACGAACGAACAAATATTTGGATATGAGTTGTTCGCGAACGAGCCAAACCCGAGTTTCTTATATTTGGATATGAGTTGTTCGCGAACGAGCCAAACACGACCTTCTTAAAGAGCCGAACATGATTTGTTCACGAACAACGAGCCGTTTTGACAGCCCTACTATTAATATTAATAGTGATGATTGTATGACTCTAATTCTTGAATTTTTAATTAATAATATTGAAAGGGCTTTCTTTTATATTGGTTTTAAAAAAAACTCTATGGTCTGATGGCTTTAATTCAAAAATTTTTAAAGATATTTGAGATTTAACTAGTTTGAATTGTATTACTGCTATTAAATATCTCTTTAATATTTGTTAAACTTACTTTAAGAGTTAAACACAATGTTATTGCTATTATTTCTAAAAATTATGATGCTAATTCTCTTAATGATTGAAGACATATTTCTCTTTGCAAAATAATTTATAAAGTTATTCTTATTTTACTTGCCCAAGCAGTTTTTATCAAAGGTTATGATATTGTTGACAATATTATTCTAAGTAATGAATTTCTATATGATTTTTATTCCAATAATTATGCTAAGTTTTACGTTAAAATTGATGTAATGAAAGCTTTTGCTAAAGTTAATAGAATGTTTCTTTATGTTTGTATGTATCATCTGACTTTTCCTCTTATTTTTATTAATTAGTTTAAATCTGGGACTACTGATATTAACTTTTATGTCATTATTAATAGTGAAATGAAAGGTTATTTTTCTTTGAATTCCAGCTTACAGCAATGTTATTCTCTCTCTTTCTATCTCTTTGATATTTTCATGGATATTTTTTCTTCTTTACTTGATTATTATGATTATGATGGTAGTACCAATAATGGTCAAAATAATAATGAGATCATATCTCATTTAATTTGTACAGTTGGCCTTCTTATATTTGGTAAGGCTAGTAAGGATTGTATTGTTCTTTTTGTTATGGACTTAACTTGAAGATAAGCTTCTATTTGCTCGCAGATAGTTCTACTCCCTTTTGGGGGCACCATCAGCACCTTCAATGAGCTTGTTAAACTATTCGTAGAACAATTCATAGCAAATAGAAGGATCGTCAATGATTACGCGAAATACTTACGGGAGTTCACGAAAATGAGGGGTAATCCTCCAAGGAATACTTCCGCAGGTTCTCCACTAAAATTCGTCAAATTTCGAGAGTGTATCCGGAGTTACTAAGAGGAGTCTTTCTTAGAAGGCTCCGCCAAGGATTTTTTATTCATCACTAATGCAGGAGACAGTTCACTTTTACTGTGATCCTGTCCATCATGTGAAATCTCAAATCTCTGCAAATGAGACAATTAGTGCACACAAGGAACAATTTGAGTGATTGGGAGGCAAGCGCAAGAATAATGTCAAGGATGTCGATCAAATCTCATGGCAAGAAAATCTTGAACCACAGGAAAATTATGAGCCTCGATCAGAAAAAGAATACACGGCACTCAACACGTCACGTGTCAATATCCTAATGACCATCAAGAATGAAAAGGTTGTCAAGTGGCCAGAGCCGTTAAAAAATCCATATGGCTGAGACCAATCTCAATATTTTCATTTTCACCATGCAAAAGGGCATTCAAGAGAAAATAAGAAATTGAACGTCTTATACGCCAATGTCGCCTGGGTTGCTACTTACAAGAACGAAGTAATGGAAAACAAAATAAAATCGTTGTGTTATCGAATGAGAATTAAAACTTCAAATTATCTTATTTGAATAAAAGACCATCATATAACCTCCTAATTTATTCTAGCGAGATTTTTCATGTTGCTTTAAAAAACTATCTTATTTGAGTAAAAGACTATCATATAACCTCCTAATTTATTCTAGCGAGATTTTTCATGTTGTTTTAAAAAACTATCGTTCAGTAAATTTTCTTATTCTTTCGGGAAAGATTTTTTTTTTTGTAAAAAGTCCCCTTAAGGGCAAGCGGCTGACATGGTCTCCACCAATACCCCTGAAAGTCGAGCCAAAGAAGCAAAACATCATGAGAAGATGTGATACCCCTAGCAGTCGAGTCCAGGAGGCAAGACTCAATTGAAAGCTACCATGCCCCTAGAAGTCAAAGCCCAACAGGCAAGGGTCGATGTAAAGCTACCATACCACTGGAAGTCGAGCCTAAGAGATAAAATTCGATGGGAAGATACGGTACCCCTAGAAGTTGATCCTATGAGGCAAGACTCGATAGGAAGTTACCGTACCCCTAAAAAATGAGCCCAGAAAGTAATTCTTGATGGGAAAGTAGTAATTGACAGGGTACTCACTAGAAAGACTCCAAGAGAGCAAATGGTCCACAAGGTCTCCACTCAAAAGCCCCAGGAGGCTACAAGCCTCAGAAAACACAAGTACATTAAAAACTTCAGAGGCTACAAGCCTCAAAAGGCACGGGTACATCAAAGTCCTCTGAAGACGGCAAACCTCAGAAAGCACAGGGACATCAAAGATCTGAAAAGTCTATGAGTCTTAGAAGACATCGATGTATTTCAAGCTCCTAGAAGATATAAGCCTAAGAAAGCACAAACCTCAGAAGATACAAGCTTAAGAAGGCACAGATTTCAGGAAGCACAAACCTTAAAAGTTGCACGATTCTTTTTGATAAAGTACACGTACTAACTTTAATTACAGACTTTGGCATATTTGAGAGGCCACAGAACCTCATGAGGCATAAGCCTCAAAAGAGGTCTACACTAACAACACCCTATAAGTAGGGTAGTAGCAACCCAAAAGTTGAGTAACCACAGACATATAAAAAAATATATTAGCATCATCTACAAATGTCGCATTAAGAAGCCATAAAGACCAATAAGCACTGGGGGTAGAGATTCTGCAGATACCGCCACCACAAAAACACAGAAATCTCCCTCATAAAGCACAAAAAAAAAAAAATTTCAACTTTTCTTCATCTCCTCTAGAATGTGTGACAGCCGCATAAGAATTACTCCAGGAATGTGCGGCAGCAACAAGTAAGAAAATCTCGGGTCACCTACAGGACAGTGATAGGGGCAACTTTCTTCTCAGCAATGAGAAAAAAGAACTCGAGCACGAATGGGAACAACTTTCTTCATCTCTGCAATGAGAAAGATCTTGGTTCACCTGTTGGGCATACACGATAAATTTCTTCGTCCCTGCAGACCGAAACAAGATTGTGAAAGAAGATCCTGGAGATTCTGCCGGGCAGGATCAAGGAAAACTTTCGAGACGATTTTTTTCTATACCACAACCCGAAAGAAGATTGAAAGAATATATTGAAGGTTCTGCTAGGCAAGATCGGGGATAACTTTTAGGACAGCTTTCTCCTGCTTCTTTATGGCAAAAGGAAAAAAATCCTAGATCACCTGTTGAACAAAAAGGGTACAGCTTTTTTATCTCATTTTCTCCTCTTGGACCCCCTTCCACACCTTCATGAAAGAAGATTAAAAAAAGGGAAATCCGAGATCACCTACTAAACAGGGATGTGAACAACTTCTTTCTCTTCTATCTCCTCACCTGAGTCTGAATTTTTCTCTCTCATCCTCCTCCTCCTCCTCCCCCCTCTTTTAAATTTTTTTCTCTTCTATCTCCTCACCTGAGTCTGAATTTTTCTCCCTCCTCCTCCTCCTCCTCCCCCTCTTTTAATTTTTTTCCTCTTACCTTGGCCTCTATAAACTCAAAAATGAATCCAGCAATATAAAAAAAAAAATGAAATTCTCATTACATTCCGAATTCCCAGCTTTCTGAAATCTGCCTGCCGTTTATTGGTCTGAAAGGCTAGCCATAAGAATGTTTTGTTGATTTTCTTCAGGTGTTCTCTGAAAGCCTCGGAAGTGTTTTTTTTCTCTGTTTATGGAGTTTGTCTTTACGTCCTTTTGAGAAAAAATTTCTCAATAGGTTATACTCAAAACTCTCTTTGCTTATTCAGAACTTATACTATAGATGCTATAAAAAACTCTTAAGAGACAGGGAAGAAATCAATACTTGAATTTTTATACTCTTGTGGTTTCTTTCCTCGCGGATGCCCAGTGTGAATCCATATGAAACGGCTCGGAACACTTCCGGATTGATGGACTTCAAATTCTTGAGGTATAACATTTGGGATCTATAATAACATAATAATCCATCAAAAAATTTTATAGAAACAAAAGAATAAACACTAAAATCTGATCCATTAACACATTACATATAATAACATATCACCAAAACTGGGCATCTAACTAGCTCTCTACATTCTATCCACTTCTGCCATAAGATGCCTGCAAATACCTGTGAGAGATAATTGGGGCATTCAGGCTTGCCGGATTTAAATTAGGCATTTACATACATACCACCCGGTTTATATGGACTTGCATATCTAACCCCTAAACTTTATTTTTTACATTTATATCACCAAAATCTTTAATATCGCATCAAAAATATCACTTTTTTAACTTTTAAAAAGTGAAATACATCTTTCAAAGCATAAGGTGCTTAGATATGTAAATAAATACATAGTGATTGAGTGGTATGTATGTAAATCTTCCTTTTTTCAATTAATTTTATATTAAACTGAGATATGGCAATGTCACCCTCGGCGTCCTAAATTCGGAGACATTTCTTCGGCCTGGGAACCATTTTCCTTATAAAATTAGTATTTGATCACATGATGCCGCAACCATAGCTCATACATTACCATGTGGAATGCATCAAATGGAACAGGAGGAGAATGCCACACGAAATGTTTCTGGGCCTGAAATATATAATGATTCCATTAGTAGATTGATGCAAAATATGCATAAAGTGACGATCACAGATTAAAAACTGATTAAAAGTTGACAGGAGATATCCATTAGTAAGAGAATAGTAGATTTAAATCACTCCTGAGTGGATAATAGAGGACTTTTATGTGATTCAAAGTGCAGTAGTTGACGAAAAAAATTAGAAGACTTTGTGGAGGAGGAAAATATAATAATATAAGAGGGAAGCACAGAATATGAACATTTTGATCATGAAGAATAATATGAAGAGGGCAAAAGTAGCCTCAAATGATAAATTTTTCAAAACTAGAATATATACAAGGAATCAGCTTGAAACAAGGACTATAAAGCCCATCTCTATGTAAGAACAGATAATGGAAATAAAAACATTCATGATGATATTGGGCTTTGGGGAGGGCTAGAGTTGGCTCCTAGCCTATCTAAGTTTGAGAGAAGTCCTATGTGGTTATATATAAAATAAAAATTTTACTCCAAATTCTTCTAAAACTATATATATATATATATATATATTATAGAAATTATCCTCTAAATTTGGGCTAGTTACATATATATGTAGCTTTAGTGTGCCAACGTGTGTGTATGCTTGCTATGGATATGCATGTGTGCGAGCCACAAAAAAAAACATGAAAAAAAAATCTCCCATAAATTTGGGATAAATCTTTTCGCCCCTAACTTGAAATCCTATTTCTGCCGCCCAAGAAGAACACCTGATCCGCTAATGCATGGTGTATGATACAACAGAGAGTGACTAAGCACATAACAGGCCAACAACGGTAGTAATCTCCATTCAGACATGTATGGTCTTTAAATTTGGAGGAGGAGAAAGATTTAAGTTCAAGAAATTAGGATTTGTGTTTACATAAGTTGTATGATATTTTCATATAATTGGATTTGGAGATAGCGTAGTGCAAGGCCTGAAAGCACTATTATGCTTCGCTTCCAGAACACAGAGATCACAGATCAATTATCAAGACTGCTTTCAATAAATGCTCCAATTTGTGATGAGCTTTACACAAAATAAAATTTAAAACAAGCGCTGAAGGTTTAAATTAAACATAATACAAAAAATTCTTGGCTTGGGGTATCCACAGTAAGATCCGGCTTAAGTCTTGACACTTTAGATATGTGCTGTTGAATTGGAATAATTCTTAATATTTTGCATGACATTCTGTGTGTTGCAAGACTAAGTCAAATCATTACAGATAATTATTGTTCATAAGACAAAAACTATGGTCATATTTAACTTCTGTGATTGAACCAAGGTGCCATTCTTCATTGAACTGTTATAAACCATCTATCTCTTGTTTTATTTTAAATATGGAAGCTAGTTTTATGAAAAGCTCAAGGGCAAGTAAAAACTAATTATAGCAAGTAAAAGATGACTAAGTGAACATACCTCAACTAATCCCTTGTGCAATGCGATAAATTCCTCATCTGATACAGACTTGAGTATAGACTTCAGTTGGTAAACATCCTTCTCTTTAACAATAAGGGAGAACTTCTGCCAGTCGAGGATATCATTGAAGGGGAGGTCATAGTAATCAGAAAGAATAACTGAAAAATATAAAAAAAAACAGGCCATAATTACAAAAAATGCAACTTGAAGCAAAAAAATATACACTAGTCTTCCAAATTTTGCAAGAATAAAAAAACACAGCATTTACATAAATACCATCCAATTCCTATGTAAACATATATTAACACCTAAACTTTGCTTTTTCCAATTATACCACCAAAATCTTTTGTATCACACCAAAAATACCACCATTTTAAATTTTAAAAGGTGGAATACACATTTCAATGCATAGGCAAGGTAGTACGTACGCAAAAATTGAAGTTTAGGTGTTAGATATGTAAATACATAGGAATTGGGTGGTATGTAAATAAATCTTCCTAAAACATATGGATGATTCTAATAATTGCTTTAAATAAGAAAATTTTAAGAAATCAAAGTGCAGATAAGAATAATTTCGAATAATCAAGAGAGCATGACACATCAAACCAAACTCAAATAGTTGAGATTTGAGATAAAGCTAATGATGTTGAAGATGAATTACTGAATGTCATTAAAAAGTCATTAAACATGTGCAGACAGGCAAATTGAGTTGAAGAATTCAGATAGATTATGCTTTGCAATATACTGTTAAACAACATATACAATGCCAAGATGTTGAAAAAAAAAACACGAGCTACCCTCAAAGTCAGTTCCGTCTATCCATCAGCCAGACTGTGGGTGTTGAATAAATTAAATAGTCATTCTTAGCACGGTGATCAAACTGTGTCACTGGTTAAATGGCAAAGAGATTATTATCTTTAGTCAATTAACTAAATGTTGCTCCAGATCTTCAAGTTGAGGCCAAAAGAATTACATTATTGTAAATTTTTATCTTTTTAATTTCACAGGTGATATTATGAACTAACAGTGAAACCATGAGGCAATAAAAGAATAATTAACAAGGAGTATTTCAACAAGTTCCTATTTTTTGCAGCAGATTGTACCTGGAACACAACCATAGTGAATGGAGTCAGTTATCCGAGCACTATTAACCTGAGAACCTCCAGGACATATGCAGAACTTAGACTTGTAGAACTGTTTTTGATAAACTAACTCTCCAATAGCTCTGCTTATACGGTTATTACTGATGGCAAGTTCGGTGTCATTTTCCCATACACGTGCAAGGATAACTCTTATCTTGGAATTTCGATGGCCAGCCCAAAATCCAAGGATTTTCCTGCAAAGTGGATTTTAGCACTAAAAAGTGAATCTCAATGTCAAAATTACCAATGTACTACAAATTAAGTCATAAATAGTTTCAGAAGTTTTAATCAATGCAACAAAAGAAGCTGGATATTTTACCCTATTTCACCAAACATGACCATATAAGATGTGTTCGCCAAACCTTTAGTTGCTTTCATGGCATGTTGGGTTAGAGGTGAAGAAGGTCAAAACATAAAAAATGAACAAGAGAACTGGATGCTCTAACTTCAATGGAGTTACAGTAATAACGATCTTATAAACTTTAAAGGAGAAAGAACAGCAACAAATAATTTTGAACTTTGTGGTAATTAATCTAAAGAGTAAGCCAGAGTATGAACAGGGTTTGGCAATAGTGGAATAGTTTCACGAAAAAAGACTCAAGACACTCCTTGAGCTTTGAAAGCTACAAATCACGAGACAGAATCAAACCTTGAGCTTTGATTCTTTATATTGAGATGTAAGTTTAGAAAATTGAAACACTCTCGTAACCTAACAGAAGCTTGTCCAGGTTTGAAACGGCTGTGAAAACTTGCAAATGTAAGAAAATCTTAGAAGTCTAATTCTGAAGTAACGAAAGAATAATAAGCTATTTTTTAAGGAAAATTTACATACATACCACTCAATTCTTATATATTTACATGCATAACACCTAAACTTCATATTTTACATAAAACCTCCTTACATATGTTTGAAAAGGTGTATTTGGCTTTTTTAAAGTTAAAAAAGGTGGTACTTTTAGTATTTGCTATTAGATATGAAAGATTCGGATGCTATAAATGAAAAAAAAGAAAAAGTTTAGACGTTAAATATGTAAATAAATTGGAATTGGGTGGTATGTATGTAAATGCCCCATTTTTTAATCTTCCTAATATGAAAACTATGATTTATATTGAAATATGCAAATGGTTTAATAGTGATTTTTAACACGCTAAAGTTCTCATTAATAGCTCAAGGAATTTACCACTTCGTACAACCTTTTCTATATTATGCAACAACCTATGTTAAAACAAAAATTTATAGGTAGAACACGCATTACATTTGTATAGTATATGAAAAAAGATTCAACAAATGCTAAAAAGGATAACTCTTTGAATAGAGGACAAAATTTTACGATTGGTATTTATGGAAAAATTGGTGCTGCCTTAAAAAATACAATAATATTTACAGAGGGTGTATTTGGAAAAACTATTTATAGCTATAGATAACAAACTGCAACTATACGTAGGTATAACTAAAACATTCTTACTACCTTTTAAATAGTTATATGGGGAGACATGTGGTGTCGACTTAATAAACACAAAATTACCTTTTATCAACAATGTGCTTGGATAACTTTTCATAGCTTTATTTTACAAACCACTACTAAACTTTCTTTTGGATATAACCTTCTTATTGCTTTTAAAAATCTTTGTGGTGATTAACTTTTAGCCAAGTATTATAGTAGTAAGTCGTCCAAATTCTTTTAGAAGAAAAGAGTGTATAATATTCATGACAGCTACTAAGAACCACATTCAAATTGGTACCACATTCAAATTTGCTTTTCCAAAATTGTACCATACAAATTTTACTAAGAACCAAATTCATCCCAAATGGCCACAAAGCCTCAAACAAATATTCAACAATTTGATTAATGGTTCCAAACTAGAAAACTAACACAAAATTGATATCAGGCCTATAATCATAGGGGAAAAAAAAAACTTTATCGCATTCATTCCAATGGCAAGCCAACTTGATCAATTTGAAGGGGCAAATCATTTTCATCGACCAAAACATTCCAAAATATGCTAGAAGTATTAGTTCTGCTTTAGAAGAATCAGTGGACAGATCAGTTTACTAATAGAATGAAAACAGAGTTGTGGATGAGGCTTTAGACAATTTTTCAAAGCTAAACTATCTAGAGGAGAAAAATTTTGGTGGGCAAACTATGAAATAATTCGACCTTTAGTAGAATGATGGGAAAGGATTACATTTTTCTATATATTAAACATCCGTGCCCATGATTTATTGAGTAAAACCTGAAAAGAGCAAGTAAATGACATGAAAAATGAACCCTGCTAATGTAGTAATGCATACACAGATGAAATGAAATAAAATGAGCGACAAAAAAAAAAGTATTATATGATGAAAAAGTATGGTAGAACTGAAAACGTAAGTGAACTTGACAATAAAATAAATTACATTGACAGAAAGACGCTCAAATCACATTCTAACCTGTTTGCAACATCATTTCCTCCAGCTGGCAAGGCAAATGGCTGTAGCACTTGAGGAAGCGCAACATCCTTGTGCGGTATATATCCAACATTATAACTAGGAGAACAAACAACTCTAATGGAATTTTTTATGAGAGAGGGAAGTCCTTCAAACGCTCTAACACCAACATCATGGCAAGTAACAAGAAAATGATCAGCACCTAAGGTCCTATTCCAAAAAGGGTATTTCCTCATCAACCCTTCAACATAATTCTTAACTAAAATAGTCATATTTTCATATGATATGCCCTGCAAGAAATAAGATGCATCATAGAAACGTAATTGAAGAGTCAGCTTAAATAAAAACAAGCTAAACAGTTGGAACAAATCGATATATTAACATGGTATCAATGTAAGTATTGCAGGTCATTTAAATTTACTAAAAGTATGAGTAATTATGAATAAGTCACAATCAATTATTGAGTTTTGCCTGTATGAGTAAAACCATTAACCCTTCTAAAGCTATCGATTTATATTGTGCTCTCTATATACTGTGCTCTCTTAACTTCATGGATGAACTGCATTTACATCCCTACATTTTGACCCTAATTAATCTTTAGCTCATCATATACTGAAACCCAAAAATTTGATTCCCTGCTTTAACTTCTCATCAGAGCCACCGACTCTCTTCACTTTTTTTTATTAACCATTAATCAGAAGTTAGGATATCCTATTAAGAAAATAAACATGACAAAATTTCAATGAAATCAAAATAATCGCAAAAAAAAAGAGAAAAAAAAAAAGAAAAAAAAACAAAAAAAAAAAAACCAAAGAATAACACCGCAAAAAATTCATCATCAAGGCTAGCAATAAGCTCAAAAAATTCACAACCTACAACACACAAAAGTTCGAGAAAAATCTAAGATCATCCTTAAGTACCTTGGCAACTATATGCAAAAAAAAAAAAAAAACTCAAACACTTTTTTTTTAGAGTTCCTTTTTTCCTTGGATCCCATAATTTGGTCTGAAACTACATGAGATGCCGATTCAACAATCCCAGATGCGCGATAAATCAGCAATGTTCAATCCCAAACTAACTAAAAAAAGCAAGAATCAATTTCTGCTATTGCAACAAGCCACGTGATAATTAGCACTTTTCAAAGCATTTATAGGCACCGTCATCATTGGCATGCTTATAATAAAATGAATTAGTAAATAAAAAAAAATTTGAAGTAGCATTAACACACACAATCTGTGTACCTGACTACTATAGATTTTTAGATTTGGTTCAGTTTAAGCCTGCATTTTAAAAAAAGTGGCTCCGATCAAGTAGCCAATATTTAAAGACAAATCTAGCCATAATGTGTGCTTTCTGCAAATTAATCAATGCACCATCACGTGCAGATTTGTCATCCGATAGCACAAAAACTCATTATATCCACCGTCAATACCAGAAGCAATATATGCATATATGATTGCTTCTAAAAAAAAAAGTATAAAGTCGTCTATTTTAGTGTTGGATGTGGCATAGAAGAGATGAAAAAGGAGAAGAATCATGGGCATTGGTAGGAGGTTCTTTGAATAAAGTTAAAACACAAATGCATTAACAAATAGATTTAATACCAAGCTATCCGAGAGTTTTCAATTTATTTTAGGCTTTCAGTTTAATTACATCAGGGATCAGCTTTAAGCTCTTATCTTTTTGCTTCAGTTATGTATGCTCTTACTAGACATTTACAGGAGGATGTACCTTGGTGCATACTTTTCACTAATGATATCCTTCTTGTGGATAAGACTAGAGAAAGAATTCAGGAAAAAACTTGAATTATGGAGGTATACTTTGGAGTCTAAAAGCCTTCTGAAAGCCTACATTTGAGTAGAACTAAAACTAAATACATGGAATATAATTTTAGCAGTTGTAGTAGTTCTAGTGGCAGAGTTGTGACAATGGGTGATCAAATTATTAAATTATTAAAAGGTGTGAACTCTTTACCAACGAATGATTTAAAAATAATTGACCACATCGTAACAACAAATAAATGGACCTATAATGACATTGGTCAAGCATTTATCAATTTCAATGAGCCGTATGAGAAAGCTTACCTTTCCCCTCATCTTGTGACAGGAGATGGGAATGAAGAAAATATTTGCTTGATCAGGATCCTCAGTATGAAACCTACTCTCCCGTATATTCTGAAAGAAATAACCTTCACTCGCGTACTTCCCCGTGAGCTTCCTCGGCGTCTGGTAATAGGTCTTCGGATCCCCGTCAGGGTATATGTAAACCCTAAATCTTTCCTCCATTTCGGCGTAGCTCGCTCTAAAAATCTCTGGAGAGTGGTAGATTGACGAAAACGATGCCGAATGAGATCGATCAACGGATGGGCTGAGGTTATCAGTTAGGGCATTGGCGAAGGGGAGATGGGAACTGTAGTGGTTTTCGGTTTGAACCGGGGATCGGAGTGATCTGATTAAAATTATTGAGAAGTAGAGGACAATTAAAGCAGTGGATGCGAGGATGGAGCGATGAAAGGAGCATGCAGGGATGGAGGGCAGTTTTCCGGCCATCTTAGTCGGCCCTCTTTAGAGAAGTTGACGCGCGCTAAGGGAGTTGGCGTTACTTGGGTAGGAGCGGAGTGGAAAGGGGAGACAAACGCGTCTTTCGGAGATCTTCCCAGTCGCCACGGCAATGCGAGGGATTCGAGCACGGGAGGAGGGAGCGAAAGGTAGGCGCTGGTTGCTGCCTTCGGGGCAGAACGAGAGAGCAAAAGGCGTGTGACGTTTGCTGCGCCGATGCTTCTCTCGCAAGGGGAAAAATATTACGTGCAGGTATCCAATAGCCCGCGCGGCGGGGCAGCATATAAGCAAGCTACAAAATTTATATTCTATTTATATGCTATTTGTATTTTAGAGATTTTTTTTTTTATATCCTGTGTGTATTTAATGTTGATTTAAATAAATATATCACTCGTCACGATGCTATTAGAGTTTGAATACATTTATAATATTTTAATAGTATCATGACTTGAGTCATGATATGAGTCATGATACTATTGAAGCCAGTAATAATTTTTCACGACTAATAGCTTAAGGCCGAGCTTAATTCGTTACTTCTTGCTTATCTTTTGGGGACGAGGGGAAGGATAAAGAAATTTGTATTATTAATGACATTAACTGAAATAGTCAAATTTGATATATGACTAAAAATAAGTTAATCTTACTATTAATGCTAAATTAAAAAATATTAAATTAAATCTTCATAATTTATGGATATATGGAATTTTTTGTGATTTCATCATGAAGAGTTGATTATCTAAATTAAATTATAAATTATAAATTAGTTATATGCTAGAATATTATGTTGACCTCATTTTTTAGGTCTTCCCTTTCCTCTCTTTAAACCTAGGATATAACATTAAGACTTTTCTATTGACTATCCTAGAGGACTAGTGATGGGACCCACCCCTTAGCAATTCTAACAACCTCTTAGCTCTTTTGTGAGGCCTCACATGGGCGGTCCCAAGCCCTCAACCTTTGGTTGGAATGGTTAAAACCAACATGTTGAATCCCAAAAAGGGGTTCCTATATGATCTAAAGGCCGTAGGAAATCCTTTATGACCTACATACTCAACTCTATTTTGTATACACATATATCATAATACATTGCATTCACCTGCGACACACCACAATATACTTGCATTCATGTTACAATTTATCAAAATCCAAAATAGCCAAATTTGCACAAAATTGGCCCAATTTGTCCAACCCACCCATTTTTCCATCTCAAATTCTCAAAACTACATAAACCCACCAATATTCATCAAAACTTCTCAAAACCACCAAATTGGCTCACCTCTCATCAAAATTGTCAAATTTACTTCAAATTTTCCAAAGATCCAAGGCCAAATAAAAGCCCATTCATATTCACTCCAAACCATCCAAAAATACCCAATTTGCAACCCAAAGTCAAATCCAAACTTCAAATGCAATTTCCTAAAGACTCCAAATTCAAATTCATATCAATCTATATCAAATTCCACATAATATTTAAAATCAGATCCAATTGGACCAATTAGGGTTTAATTTGACTTAAACCTAATGTAATTAAGGTTTAAGGTGATTAATTAGGTCAAATTAATTCGGTCAAATAGAGATTATACCTAATTAGGGTTTAATTTGACTTAAACCTAATGTAACTAAGGTTTAAGGTGATTAATTAGGTTTAATAGAAATTAGATCTAATTAGGGTTTAATTTGACTTAAACCTAACGTAATCAAGGTTTATTGACTTAAACCTAACGTAATCAAGGTTTAAGATGATTAATAAGGTATAATAGAGGTTATACTTAATTAGTGTTTAATTTGATTTAAACCTAATGTAATTAAGGTTTAAGGTAATTAATTATGTTTAATAAAGGTTAAACCTAATTAGGGTTTAATTTGACTTAAATCTAATGTAATTAAGGTTTAAGATGATTAATTAGGTCTAATAGAGGTTAGACCTAATTATGGTTTAATTTGACTTAAACCTAATGTAATTAAGGTTTAAGGTGATTAATTTTATGTTTAAGCTTAATTAAGGTTTAAAGGTTTATGTTGTATTTAAACCTAACTTAATTAAGATTTAGAGAATTATCTTAGGTCTAAGATGTATTAAACCTTGATATTAGAATTTGATTACTCCTAATAATCCTTTTAGAGTGATGAGAATTTTTGGGTTTAAAGTGTAATTTTTCAATTTTACAATTTTCACCCTAAAGGTCTAAGTTGTCATTTCAAACTTTCGAGTTGTTAGAAATTGTCTTTTTAGGGTTTAATTTCATCATTCTAAAATTTCTAACTATTTTCAAATTTAACTTTCAATTTTCTGTTTTTATAATTATTTTTGAAGATAATTACAAAGTTTGATGAAAATTGATGATGACTTTAGGAATTTTTCCTAGTCTTAGAAAAATCACAGGATTCCCCTAAGGGTGATAGGATTAGTCCCTAAAAATTTTATTATTTTTAGGTTTATAATTAATGTTTAATAATTAAATTACTCCATAGAGTAATTAATTAATTAAATTTAAATATAATTTATTAATTTTAGATTTTGTTTTCATAATTTCTTCTTATTCTTCTAAATCCATAGGTATTTTTATCATATTTTTATGATTTTTTCTTTGTCGAGATATGATTTTTTAAAGATTTTGTGTATTTTCTGATTTAATTAAATCTTATTTTCCTATTAATCTACGCAAGCACCAGCGCGATCCTCGGATACGTCAAAGCCCACGCAGCAAAGTTTGGTTGTTGGGACTTTAAATGAGGGCGGCCACGTGGCCAGCTGTTCCGTCTGTTTCATATGGACGGATTCAAAACCTGGCTAGATCACAGCCATCCATTTCCAATACATAAAAATGGATGGTATCTGACCGTCTTCCCCAAACAATAATAGCCTGTAAACCATTCGTGTTTAGGGCATAAGATCTCTTTTAAATCTTCATGAAACTTCATGGAGATTATTTCAAAAGCTTCACCGCATCAAAACGAACACATCCATACGGATATGTAGGTATGATGTGATGATCTTCTTCCTAAAGGTCCAAACCCGAGCAAAATTTAGGGTTAAATGTCCACAACTGGTCTTGATGAGGTGAAGTCTAGATCAAGTTTGATAGAAACGATCGCAAGGCACTTGCAAAGCCTTCACTGAGTTCAATTTGGAGTGAAATTAGGCCGAGCTATATCCGGGCTGAAATGGCCTCAAAGTTTCACCTAATTATAGGTTAGAGCTCACAGGAAGGTTCAATTTCAATTAGAAACTTTTTCGTTTAGGTCAATGATGGTGTTGAAGAGATTTGATTGAAGTTTGGAAGGGTTTTGTGTTGACCCAAAAAATTGTCCTGGTTTTCAAGTGAGAAATTGGACTTCTGTAATGGATTACAGAGGTCCAAAGTGCGGGGAGTCAAATGCTTAGGTTATGGGAAACAAGTTTGGTATTGAAGGTTTTTGGAATTGGGGATTGTAGCTAGTGTTCTACTCTCCATGTGAGGCTCTCGGGTTAGCCTATTTATAGCCATGGATGAGCCATGGCTGAGCTTGGATAAGCATGGAATTTCTTGGGGATGAAGGTGAGGACTTTCATGATGGCTGGAGAAAAGGTTCTGGCTGAAGATAGCCATGGATGAGCTTCCCTAAGTGATATCCATGATGAGCCTTCATTAAGGTGAAAATTTGGACATAACTTTGGCTTTCTTTCATTGGGGAGATGGTGAGATGGTAAGGATTTTGAGATTGAGCTGGCTAACTCACTCAACCTAAGCATACAAGTCATACATTGTATTTAGGGAGGAATGACACATATCCCTCCCTTCATAATGACCTTTGACTTAGGTCAAAAATGATGGCTCATAGTTTTTAGTAGGTTACCTATGTCATGATAATCACTAGTCATGGATGACTCGGATGACTCAATACCCATAGGCCATGAGTTGGATTTAATGTTTAAGTGTAAAGCATGGGTTTAGGGTTGTCATGGGTTTATATTACCATGGGCTTAAACCATGATATTAAACTTAAATCCTAGGTCTAATGATCATTAATTTCACTCTCTATAATTAATTAATGATTAAATAATTAAGAGAATTGAATAATTTGATTAAAAGACTAAAATTTGACCAAAAATGGCGAAGTTGACCAAGTTTGACCATAGTTGACTAGTTGACTAAGGTTTGACCAATTAGGTCCCAAGGTTGACCATGATGACTCAATTGACATTTTCATGATTGAGTTAGTCATGGGGTCATTAGATTTGATGACAGGGTTTGGTTTGACCATATTGACAAAAAAGTTGATCATGGTGGTCAAGTTGACCATGTGGTAATGACTTGGTAATTGGGTCAAACATAGGGTCTATGATCTAACCTTATGGTCATTGGGATGATCACATGTTCTTGGTTTGACCAATTGATCAAATTTGACCAATTTGGTGTTTGAATTGATCAAGTGGTCCATGTGGTAATCATTAGGTCCAAAATTGACCATTTTAACCAAAGCTTGACCAATTAGGTCCATGGTTGACCAAATGGTCCATGTGGTGATCATTGGGTCCAAAATTAAACATTTGACCAAAGTTTGACAATTAGGTCTATGGTTGACCAAATGGTCCATGTGGTGGTCATTGGGTCCAAAATTGACTATTTTGACCAAAGCTAACCAATTATGTTTATGGTTGACCAAATGGTACATGTGGTGGTCATTGGATCTAAAATTGGCCATTTTGATTGAAGTTAGACCAATTAGGTCAATGGTTGACCAAATTGTCCATGTGGTGGTCAATGGGTCCAAAATTGACCATTTTGACAAAAGTTTAACAATTAGGTCTATGGATGACCAACTTGTCCATGTAATGGTCATTGGGTCCAAAATTGATCATTTTGACCAAAGTTTGACCAATTAGGTCTATAGTTGACCAAATGGTCCATGTGACCCTGAATTAAGGTTTACTGTCATCTTTGTGATCACCCTAGAGTGCCATCAAGAACTAGGTTTCAAGAGTATATTAGGGTTTTGCCCTAAATTTTAAGGTTTAAGAATCCTTGATGAGATTTAAGGAGTCAATATTGTTAGTCATTATTTTTCAAGATGGATCATGAATGTCATTCAAAATGAACTCTCACAAAAGTGAGGTCAACAACTCCTTCCACACTTCCCCTCATTTGAAACAGAAGAGTGAGCAACCAAGAGAGGGAAATCTCTAGTGCATCCTAGTATAGCTAAGAAAAAGAAAAGAAGTTGTAGCATAAGAAAAAGATAGGGAGAGGAGAAGTCACCAACCTCGTACATAAGTGTAGCATAAG